ATATTGCTGATGGCTTGACTGAACGTCTTTTTTTGAAGGTCTAAGTAGGTGAAACTAATCCAACAGGGTTTTTCCTTTTTTTGTAGAACAAAAAACATGTTATGGATATTACATATTAGCCAGAGGATAATGATAACAGGCATAGTTCTCTTTTTTCCCAGTACTGGCTATCTGGGAAGGTGAAAATTATATTTTGAAATAATTTTGAAATGTTGCTTCAACGGCAAAAACAATTCAAAGTTTTGGTTTTATGAAATCTGAAACAATGTGGACCTGTATCGGAAAACAGACTATCTTTGTGCAAAGACAGCAGAATTTTATACATTTAATAGCTGTGTACAAAAGGAAATTGCAACAGACATAGTTTGTCATGTGTACAAGGACAGACTGTCATACAACACAACAAATTAATTGCCTTTTACATTCTAATTAACAGTCTGAATATATAGATGCCCAATAGTGGTATGACTATCTTTGTATCATACTAGATGGGGACTATATTTAAACAGGAAGAGTTTAGAGTTATGTCATAGTTTTAGCATGACTGTCAAAGAGTCAGAATGATTTCTGGAAATGTTGTAAGACTTTTGTCAGCTGGCTTCTATTGTGGAAATTTGGGTTAACTTTAATTTTGACACCTATAGACATATATATAGATGAGTGGAGCATGCAAAATACTGCAGTATATCTCCGCTTTGAAAGAGGAGGGTATTTCAGGCAACTTGAAATAGGAGCCTGTTAATGCTGTGCAGGTCATAGTCCTCGGCTGATTGTATTTTGGCTTGGAAACAAAATGATTCAGCCTGGGTTAGTATTCGGATGAGAAGTTACCAGGAAATTCCAGGGCCACAGGCTAGACTTGGAAGTCAACAAATCTGTGGAAGGAAGCAGTAGCAATCCACTTTTGTTCTGTTGCCAAGAAAGCTGTGTGGGCACATCCATAAATAACGAGGAGTCAAGGGTAGCTTAAAGGAGACTTTACAATTTAGTCCAGAATCTCCAAAGAGTCTGATGCTTTTGTCAAAACATTGCATGCAGGGTTGCACAACTGCACCACAAGCTATGCCTCTTCCGACATGCATGCAACGTTACAACACCAGTTCCAGCTGTGGGTATATGGTGCCCCTAGGACACACTGACCGATGGCGTTACTTTCTGCAGATGCAAAGATTTGCATTTTTAGAATGATTTGGAAGGAGGGGTGGTGTTGGTGCCCCCTAAG